TGTCCATTTGCAGCCCAATGTTGGTTTCGTATCGGTATTCCCCAAATGGCACTCCTTTCTTTCTCCTCTGACCTCCATTCTGGGATCAAACTCAACTGTCAAACCAAAATTGTACACCCATCTTCTGTAGATTGGACCATAATCTTCCCCTTTGTGTGTTGGGAAATTTGGCGGCACCGTAATGCTTGTTGTTTCCAACCCAACCCATCCCTTTTCAGTGCAGCATTGGTGGTGGCTCGAGCTCTTGAATGGCAGCATGTCATTGATAAAAATCTGCCATCCAAAGTTGTACACATTGTCTCAATTGGCTGGAAGCCTCCTTGGGAAGGTCGGTAGTTAAATGTTGATGGAACTTCAAAAACATCCCCTAACCGAGCAGGAGGAGGTGGCATTATTCGTGATACTTTGGGCAGGTGGGTTGCAAGATTCATGAGGAATATAGGCACAGCTTCGGCTTTAGAGGCTGAATTATGGGCTCTTCGAGATGGTTTGATGTTAGCAGCAGACTTACACTTATTGGAAATTCATGTGGAATCAGATACAAAAGAAATGATCAAGTTACTACTACATGAACCATCTAGTCAGCACCATTATAGTAATCTCCTTTGCGATTGCAGGTATCTCATGAGGCAGCTGAGAATCTCCACGGTTGAGCATATCTTTCGGGAAACCAACAAGTGTGTGGACATTTTAGCAAATCAAGGCAGTGTTGCCACTGATAGTTTTGTTGTTTTTAATTCCACTCTTTCTTGTCTGTCTAAACAGTTACTTGAGGATGGTGTAGGGGCTTCATACCCCAGGACTGTTTTTGTTACTCTTTCATCATTTCATAGAATAATTTGTACCCTTCATATTTTGGTTTTTTTTTTTTTTTTTTTTTTCACTGATATCGTTGATGTAGACAGAATCCACCACTATTACAATATGTGAAAAATTTAATACAGGGGTTTTAAAAAAAATTACGATAGACTTTATAAGTATTAATATATATACTGTAATAATTTTTTTGACAGGTGCAATGATCAGTAATTTTCCTTTATAATATTTTTACCTAATTTTTTTTCTCAATAAATATTTTTTATTTTTTAAATATATTTAAGTGGAAATAACTCAAAGGAATTGTATTTTAATAAAGGTGTAAGCTAGAATACGTGAGTGTTTGGGATTTGATTTTTTTTTTTAATGACTTTTTAATTTTTTTTAATAGTTAAAAAAGTTAATGTATTTGGTAGTTGCTAAAAAATATATTTTTTTGAGTGAAAAAATTAATGTAACATTTGATTTTTTTAATTAATGATAAACAATTAAATTGACTTTTTAATTTTTTTTTAGCCAAATGTTCTCTTTTTTAGGTTGTTCTCCAAAGTTGCGTCTCATGTCACAACATTCACTTACACTTGGTACCTATATGAAAAATACAAATATTTTGAGTTTTATTATTATTATTATTAATGAAGATAAAAAAAAAAGAAGGAAAGTTTACTTATAAATCTCATTTTGAGGAATGGTGATCCATTTAATCTCAAGAATTCTTTTATAGACAAATTAGTCTCATTAATTTTGAAAGATAGATTTAATATATTATTTAAAAATTAAATTTACTGTTATACTTTTATTTCTATGTTTCCTTCTCTCCCTTTTTTTTTTATTTTTTTTATTTTTTATTGTTAGAAAGATAAGATACACAATCTATGATAATCAAATTTGAGATAAATTTTTGTATGAGAATCTTTTTTATTTAAAAAATATTTCAAAAGAAGTACAAAAATAACTTAAAATATGGAATTGTTCAAACATTACAAAAGGATGTGATATTCTTCAAACATGTCAAAAGGAATACAAAAATTCCTTAGGAAACTTTGGACAAATGTATAATTTCAAACTGTAACACTCAAACGTAGCACTCCCAAAAAATCCTTAATATATTTTTCTCAAACATAGCACTTCAATATAACACTTCAAAAAATTATTAGTGTACTTTTCTCAAATGTAACACTCCAATATAACACTTCAAAAAAATTACTTAGTATAACACTCTAATGTAACATACAAAGAAAGTCGTTAGTGTAACACTGTAATGTAATACACAAAAAACTCCTTAGTATACTTTTTCCAAACACAACACTCCAACATAACATTCCAAAAAAAACTCCTTAGTGTAACACTTTAATGTAATACACAAAAAAAAAAAAAAAACTCCTTAGTATACTTTTTTTAAATGTAACACTCCAAAAAAAGGATGTAGGATTCTTCAAACCATTCTAAAAGGATGAGAAATTTTTCAAACCATTCTAAAAGGAGTACAAAAATTTCTTAGTAAGTTTTGAATAAATGTATAATTTCAAATTGTGAGCATTACGTTTGGAAAAAAATACACTAAGGAGTTTTTAGTGTTTTTTTATGTGTCACATTGAAATGTTTCGTTTGGGATTACATTGATTAGAGTGTTACTTTTGGAAAAAATAAACTAACAAATTTTTTTTGTGTTACATTTAAGAAAAGTATACTAAAAAGTTTTTTTTTTAGTGTTATGTTGTTACGTTTGGAAAAAAATACACCAATGACTTTTTTTAATGTGTTACATTGGAGTGCTATGTTATTGGAGTGTTACGTTTTTGTTTGTAATGTGAGATTTGTTCTAGAAAGAGACAAAATCCAAAACTTTTATAGTGCAGATTACCCAAATGTATAATTTTACATTTGGAGAAACTTACTATTATCCTTAAAAAATTAAACTCAAACATGTAAGTATCTACTCTTTTGTGTAATTTTTTACTTTAATAGGACCTTTAGGTTCATAAGAAAAAAGAAAAAATTATGAAATTAGATTTTGAGACTTATTAGTACTTCACACATAAATAATAATAAAAAAAGAATATATTAAGTTAAAAGCCAAACAACCAATTATATTCTAGTTTTGTGTATTTTTAGTATTTATAAAAGGGAGAAGTTTTTCTCCGGTTTATATCGAACTAGAGAGAGATGTTGGGCCTCCGTGGGTTCACCACGGGACCCGCATTGATAATTCAGATCGTTCAATGTGTATAACTCGTCGAATACTTTATATTTATAAAAAATCATGCTGATTGGATATCGCTAATCACTTTATCAAATTACATTTGTGCCATTAACGTGATTTTTTTACAGTGATGAACTACTTGGTGGCCTCTGTGGTGGGTCACGAAGGCGCAACAACACTATCCAATTGGAACACTCAAGAATCAAGTCATTTATAAAATTATTTTCTTTTATATAAAAAATATATATAAATATATAGATAAATTACACTGACACCTCTTGAGGTTTAGTCCAATTACATCCCACTTTTTGACTTTCTGAAAATTACATTTTCACTCGTGTAGTTAATAGTTTCATTCTACAAACTCCCCTACTTATATTAAAGACAACAACTCCTAATAAAAAAAATAAAGGAAATTACATTGAAAAAAATAAAGCAAAGAAAAGAGAAGAGAGAGAGAGAGAGAGAGAGAGAGAGAAAGTAACGCAACGCAAAAAAAGAACAACAATGATAGAGACCACTAATTTTGGAACTCTAAAAAGATCACTAATGACATGACACTCAATAAAAAAAGAAAAAAAATACAACACCAAGACCAAAACATCAAATCATTCATAATGGGGCCTACTGCCACATCATTAGTGGTAGCACTAATTAGTGCTCCCACTCATTTTCCAAAAAAGAAAGAGCGTATGAGTTCAATATTTTCATTTCATCTAAATAATTAGAGTTCTAGAAAGAGACAAAATCCAAAACTTTTATAGTGCAGATTACCCAAATGTATAATTTTACATTTGGAGAAACTTACTATTATCCTTAAAAAATTAAACTCAAACATGTAAGTATCTACTCTTTTGTGTAATTTTTTACTTTAATAGGACCTTTAGGTTCATAAGAAAAAAGAAAAAATTATGAAATTAGATTTTGAGACTTATTAGTACTTCACACATAAATAATAATAAAAAAAGAATATATTAAGTTAAAAGCCAAACAACCAATTATATTCTAGTTTTGTGTATTTTTAGTATTTATAAAAGGGAGAAGTTTTTCTCCGGTTTATATCGAACTAGAGAGAGATGTTGGGCCTCCGTGGGTTCACCACGGGACCCGCATTGATAATTCAGATCGTTCAATGTGTATAACTCGTCGAATACTTTATATTTATAAAAAATCATGCTGATTGGATATCGCTAATCACTTTATCAAATTACATTTGTGCCATTAACGTGATTTTTTTACAGTGATGAACTACTTGGTGGCCTCTGTAGTGGGTCACGAAGGCGCAACAACACTATCCAATTGGAACACTCAAGAATCAAGTCCTTTATAAAATTATTTTCTTTTATATAAAAAATATATATAAATATATAGATAAATTACACTAACACCCCTTGAGGTTTAGTCCAATTACATCCCACTCTTTGACTTTTTGGAAATTACATTTTCACTCGTGTAGTTAATAGTTTCATTCTACAAACTCCCCTACTTATATAAAAGACAACAACTCCTAATAAAAAAAATAAAAAAATTACATTGAAAAAAATAAAGCAAAGAAAAGAAGAGAGAGAGAGAAAGTAAAGCAACCCAAAAAAAGAAAGAGCGGATGAGTTCAATATTTTCATTTCATCTAAATAATTAGAATGACAGAGAATTAGTGTAATTTTTCAAACATGAAAGAGCGATGTATATTAAATTCAAATCTTAAGGTGTAAGTATAATTTACCCTAAATATATATTTTTTCATCAATGATAAACTTTAAAAAAACTCTAATGATATAATAAAATTAAAATGAATAAATAAATAAAACACTCACATACATCTTCACATCAAATATGAGCCCACACCCATTAAGTTCTTTTTTCAATATTTATTCGTACTCTGTTTTTTTTTTTTTTTTTTTTTTTCAGCCAGGTCTAAGCAACGTGGTGCTCAGGAGGAGCGTGGTCCCCTTGATGCTAAACAAGGCAGTGTGGGTGAGAAAGATGACTACTACTACTGTTACTACTCCCACTATAATTTATTGCTTTATTACAGCCATTATTCATTCATAATCATAACTAAACTGAAACTGATATCTCTTTGTTTTGTATGTATCTACCTTCATATATATTTCTTCATCAAGTAAAATCAAAATACAACAACACAATCATCACTACCCCTCCATACCCCCCACAAACATTCCTTTTCCCAGTACAAGCTCTCTCACTACCATCTCTCTTCTCATCTCATCTGGGTTTCACAACTACAACAAGTGGATATTGAAAATTCAAAGTCGGTGAGCTTTTCAGATTCCCAGAAACCCTCAATTTTCCGGTAAAATTCTCATCTCCTCTTCAAACCCACTTTTTTTGTTTTTCGTTTGGCCAGTCCTTTACCTTCTTATTTGTGTGTATGTACAGACATGTATATGCTGTGTTTCATGTTTTGAGGATATATTCTCAACTTCAAAAAAATAATAAAAAACCAAAAACTGCTGATCTTTTTGTTAACAAATCATGATTATTTTGTTTCATGAACTCTGCTTTCTGGGTTCATTTTCTTTTACTTTACCTTTTTATTTTGATTTTTTTATATATATATATTTGTAAAGTATGTACTGTATTCCTTTTTTAATACTCAAATAGAACAAGGCTATAGATTCATGACTCTTCTAATGGCTCAATAAATACGATCTGAAACCTTTCTCTTCTTTCTTTTGCTTTTCCTGCCTTTTCTTGGAAACCAAACGAGAACAGGAAAATCTGTGAAACTTTTTCAGGAGTAGCTTTAAAGGTCGATATGGGTATTTAATAATAATCCACAACTAAAAACAAATTGATGTCCTAACGTCACCTTTGTGTCTCTCTCTCTTCCCTTATTTGTTTGTTATCAGCTTAATTAAATAATTAATTAATTTAAAAACTTTATTGATAGAGACCCTCTTCAATCACCATCTATAATTCCATACACACGTGGTAGGTGATAATTGGAGCAGAAGAAAAAAAAAAAAAAAAAAAAAAACAAAAGAAAAAATAGCTAATCAAAAAAGAAAAGTGGTCAAAGGGATGAGAAAAAAGGAATCTTAAATATTTTTGATTAATTAATTAATTAATTTAAAAACTTTATTTTTGTACGGTGGTGATTCGGTCATGTTTTAATTGTTTGTCTTCAGCTCTTACAAACAAGGATGGGGACTGCTCATCATCAATGGCAATAATGGTCCTTGGTAATATATGACAAAAAATCTCTGTTGTGAAATGACTCTTTTGCCCCTCTCAATTCACACAATGGCCAAAAACCCAACCCTTCTCTCCCTCCAAATTCTAACTGCTTTCTTGATTTTCTTTACCCTTTTCCATCGTTCCTTTCCCTTCCTGGTTGAAAAGGAAGCTCTCCTTCAATTCAAAAACCATCTTGAAGACCCTTTGAATCACTTAGATTCCTGGAAAGATTCAGAATCTCCATGTCACTTTTCTGGAGTTTCTTGCGATCCAAACACCGGTCGAGTTACTGAAATTTCCCTCACCAACAAGTCCCTCTCTGGTGTGATATCTCCTTCCATTTCTGTGCTCCAAAGCCTCACTTCTCTTGTGCTACCTATAAATTTAATTTCCGGGATTCTTCCATCCGAATTGAACGATTGCAGAAATCTCAAAGTTTTGAATCTCACAGTAAACAAAATGAATGGAAGCCTACCTGATCTTTCCAGTTTGGCAAACTTGGAGATTCTAGATTTATCCACAAACCACTTTTCTGGTGGATTTCCAACTTGGGTTGCAAATTTAACTCGGTTGGTTAATCTTGTGGTTGGTGATAATGATTATGAAGAGGGTGAAATTCCTGAGAATCTTGGAAATTTGAAGAACTTGACTGTTCTTTATCTGCATAATTCGCATTTGAGAGGTCCAATACCTGAATCTGTTTTCGAGCTCACAGCATTGGAGACATTGGATATTTCTGTCAACAAGATTTCTGGGAATTTCTCGAAATCAATATCCAAACTACAAAATCTCAACAAAATTGAGCTCTTTCGGAACAACTTGACGGGAGAACTCCCACGAGAGCTAGCAAGCCTCACGCTTTTGCAGGAAATTGATTTCTCTAAAAATCAGATGTATGGGAAATTGCCGCTTGAAATTGGCAATCTGAAGAATTTAACAGTTTTTGAGCTAAATGAGAACAACTTCTCTGGTGAACTCCCTCCGGGATTTGCAGATTTGCACTATCTCAAAGGCTTTTCTATCTACAGGAACAATTTTTCAGGACAATTTCCGGAGAATTTTGGTCGGTTTTCTCCACTGGATAGCTTTGACATATCTGAGAATCAATTTTCTGGTGGCTTTCCTAAATTCTTGTGCCAGAATGGGAAATTGAAGTTCTTGCTTGCGTTGGCAAACAATTTTGTTGGGGAGTTACCAGCTAATTTTGCTAATTGCAACTCTATAAAGAGGTTGAGGATCAATCAGAACCAGTTGTCCGGGAAAGTCCCAGATGGGTTTTGGGCACTGCCTAATGCAATTATCATTGATTTTAGCGATAATCATTTTACCGGCGGTATTTCTCCAGAAATTGGGATTTCCACCAACTTGAATGAGCTGATTTTGGTTAACAATAGGTTTTCAGGTGAGCTCCCATTGGAACTTGGCAAACTGACGCAGTTGGAAAGGCTTTATTTAAGTAACAATGACTTCTCTGGAAGAATTCCTTCTGAAATTGGCGCTCTGAAGCAATTATCATCTTTGCATTTGGAACAGAACTCATTTAACGGGCCAATACCACAAGAACTGGGACAATGTGATAGGCTGGTGGACTTAAATCTTGGTTTGAATTCTCTCAGTGGTACTATCCCTGATACACTTGCACATATCAGCTTTTTGAATTCTCTGAATCTTTCAAGAAACAGACTTGAAGGTTCCATCCCCAAGAATTTACAGAAATTGATGCTAAGTTCCATTGATTTGTCTAATAACCAGCTTTCAGGAAGTGTTCCAACCTTTCTTCTTGCCGCAGGAGGAGGCCAAGCATTTGTAGGAAACAAGGGACTCTGTATTGACGAAACTTCTAGAATTCAGGTCAATTCAGGGATGGCTGTTTGCAATAGCGAGCATAATCCCCAAAGATTCATTGGAACTAAATTAGTTACGTTCTGTGTCATATTAGCTGCCTTGGTTGTTATTTTGTGTGGTTTATTGCTAACGAGTTACTGGAGATTCAAGCTCAGTGAACCACATTACGCGGATAATGATCTAAGATGGGATGATAAGCAAACAGATCACAAATGGAAGCTTGTCTCTTTCCAACCGGTGGTCTTTGATGTAGATGAGATATGTAATTTGGATGAGGACAATTTGATTGGTAGTGGAAGTACTGGAAAAGTTTATAGATTAGATTTGAAGAAAGATGTTGGCATGGTGGCTGTGAAGCAACTATGGAACGGAAATGGGGTGAAAGTTTTGGCAACAGAAATGGAGATTTTGGGAAAGATTAGGCATAAAAATGTATTGAAGTTGTATGCCTGTCTGATGAGAGGAGAGTCAAGTTTATTGGTTTTTGAGTACATGGTAAATGGTAATCTCTTTCAGGCACTTCATCGAGAAATCAAGGGTGGGGAATCAGACTTGGATTGGTATCAGCGGTATAGAATTGCTCTTGGAGCTGCTAAAGGACTTTCTTATTTGCATCATGACTGTACCCGGTCTATTATTCATAGAGATATTAAATCAACCAACATTTTATTAGATGAGTGCAATGAACCAAAAATTGCTGATTTTGGGCTAGCAAAGATTGCAGAAGGGTCCTCTATGGTGTCTGAAGCCAGCTGTTTTGCTGGTACTCATGGTTACATTGCCCCTGGTGAGTATAAAAAATATGATTTCTATGTTGCCAATATGATTTTTGTTTTCTTACAAAATTCATCTTGTGAAAATTATTTTGAAATTTCTTACTAACTGTGAGGGTATGTTTTATTGGAGAATATTTAGGACAGCATCTTTTAACTAGGTTTCGCTTATTGAATTCACATATTATTTATATTTTTAAATTGTACAATCTGGTGGATTAAGGTGCAAAAGTTCAGTTTATTGACCTTATTCTGATGACTTATCATGTCTGCGTCTAATGATTAATGAATGTTCTACAGAAATTATGTAATCTGGTTAGTTTGTGCTCTTTTCAATCAGAGGAAAAAAGTTTCAATGACTGCCCTTGTGCTATATTTAAGTTCATTGTATATTTGTGTGTTTTATAAGAATTTTGCAAGGAATAAACTCATGTTTTTAATTATTTCTTAATTGGGCTGTTCGATAAGACTAAGTAACTCTAAAACGTGTTGTATGTGAAAAACAGAGAGGACTATCTTGTTCTCAGAAAATCTTATTTTGTTCTCATATATTGAGTTCGGTTACAAGTAATAATGAATTAATCAATTTTGTGCTGGTTTATGTGCATTACAAGATGGTATTCTTCATCCAACGTTGTTAATCCTGAAACAATAACAGATATTGAAGTAGGCCTTATATAAAAAAATAGGCCTTTGCTTTGCATGACCACAAAACATATTGTAGTCACTCAAAAGATGATCTTAAGATGCAAATTAACTTTTAAATCAATACCCACTTTCCATTTTCTAGAAGTATGCGATTACATGGACGTAGATTTACGAATTCTATTACATGTAAGTTGGAAATCTACTGACTACTTGTATTCTTTTGTGCTTTTCTTTTTCTTTGGACAATTACTTTCCTCTGCAGAGCTGGCAAATACTGTCAAAGTCACTGAAAAAAGCGATGTTTATAGTTTTGGTGTGGTGCTACTTGAATTAGTTACTGGTAGAAGACCGATAGAAGAGGAGTACGGAGAAGGAAAGGATATTGTTTATTGGGTTTCGACTCATCTCAATGATCGCGAAGACGTGCTCAAAGTCTTGGACCCTAAGATCGTATCTGATCTTGTTGAAGATGACATGATAATGGTCTTGAAGGTTGCTATGCATTGCACCACCAAGCTTCCCAATCTACGCCCTAGCATGAGAGTGGTGGTCAAAATGCTCGTTGATGCCGAGCCTTGCAGTCTCAAATCTCCTGATAATTGTGAAAAGAATGGAAAGCTCATCCTGTAATTCCTTTATCGGCTTGCTAGTTGTAGCTTATATATTCTTAGGTTTGAAATTTCCATACTTTAATTGTACTATCAGATGAAGTGGAGTTTGTTGTTATATTGCTTCTTAAATGATGTTGGTGGTGTAAATGTACATATTGTATTGAGATTGTGAAAAAAAAAAGAAAGAAAGAGAAAAGTTGTGTTGTTGCTTGTTAGCTTATGCTGTTCTAATTTTGTTGTGAGATATTTGCTCTGGGGTCTAGTTAGGTAAAGAATAGGTAGTTAGTTTACAGGTAGGTATTGTAGCTGATGGGTTGTTGAGAGTAGTAGTATAAATAGAGAATAAGTTGTATCAGTTAGGTGTGGAATTGAAATTGGATATTGTGAACGTAGTGAAGTTGTTTTCTTTCTATTTTCTATCTTCTTTCTTTGTAGTGAAGTTGTTTTCTTTATTTTCTTTGTTATATCTTCGTTGTCGGTCTTTGCCCTTTCCTCTCTTTCTTTGTTTTCTTCGCCTTACAAATTAGGTCAGGTTGCTCAGATTAGCCCCAAGTTCAAATTTATGTTTTACATTCAGCAGAAAATAATTTCTACTTAATTGTTTTTCAAACAATATTTTCCATAACAAATGTTCTTCTGTTTTTGGTTGCATTCTTGAAATTAATGCACTAATGGTTGCATTAGTGGTAATTGTAATGGTGGTGGCGGGATGGAGGTAGAGGTGTTGGGGTGGCAGTGGCGGCAATGGCAGTAGGGTGGTGGTGGTGGAGGTGGTAGTGGTGATGACAGTTGTGATGGTGGTTATGGCCATGGCCATGGCTGTGGTGGTGTGGTGACAGAGATGATGGCAATGATGATAATGTGGTGTCACATTGGTAAAACTTTAGTTCAAAAAGCTTTTTCAGCTTCATAAAAATAAAGGTAAATTATACATGTATCTCTTGAAATTTGTTTAAAATACGATAGTTTTATGTAATTTGGAAAATTATATCTCATCCATTGAAGCTTACAATTTCATAACAAATGGTCTTTTGTTATTAATAAGTCATCAACTTAATCAACAATTTTTATTAATGTTAGAAATTGATTTTAATTAACAATTTAAATAATTTTATTATTATATAAGAGAGTGAAGTTTATTTTTTTTAGTTAATTCCATTAAATAAAAAATGGTAAATTTGGCCATAAACCTCTCCTAACTTGTTAAAAGGACAAAAAAATAAAAATAAAAATAAAATAAAAATTTTTAGTTCTTTCAAAATTCCTTCGTAATTATAAAATCTTATATAAAGGATAAAATTTGTTATTTAAATATTTTATTTGACTATTATACCTTCTCTTTCTTCACCAACTTGATGGTTGTTCATCGCCTTAACCATTTTCATTGTCTGCTGGCGTCGCTCATCCTTATTGTTGGCTAAGGACTGCCATTTTTACCATCAAACCACTACCATCTCAAATTTGATATCTATGAACTTACATTTAAGATGAATAACTTTAAATTTGAAATAAATGAACTTAAATTTGATAGAAAAATGAGAAATTGAGAGATTGTAATGAAAAATCAAGAGATTTTTATTTGTTTATTTAGAGATCTAAAAGAAAAATTTGACTCTAGTTTGTTCATTTAGTATGTACTCTATTTTTTGCAATAGTAAAATTTTACTCTGGTTAACGACATGCTGATCTGCTTAACGACAATAAAATTTTACTTTGAATCATAGTAAACTTTACTTTAATTCAGAGTAATCCGAATCATAGTAAAGCTTATATTATGATTCAAAGTAAAATTTTACTTTGAAACACGCTGCGAGAATGACTTTACAGGAGAGGGCTGCCTCATGAATTAGAGTAAAATTTTACTGTTCAAAAAATAGAGCATTATGAGAAGAAAAGAAAGAGATAAGAAAATAGAGTTCAAAAATAGGGCATCATGAGGAGAAAAAGAAGAAGAAGAAAAGAGAGAGAGAGTGAAAAATAGTATAAATGGTGAGTGATAGAGAGAGAGAGAGAGAGAGACAGAGACAAAGAGACAGCACGAACAGAAAGAGACAGAGAATGAAGGGATCTAAGATTTGAGGTTCGCGAACCTTCGTGAACCGTCGCGAATGGTCATTTTTAAGTGACGACGGTTGTTAATGATCTCATATTTGAGGTCGTGGATGCGACAAACGATGGTGACTATGAAGACGGTGGAGAAAACGAGAAAGAGAGAAAAGAGATTAAGATAAGAGAGTGTTTGGTTGCAGATCTTATATATAGATATATATATACATATGAGGGTATTATATTAAAAGAAATAAATTTTAAATACTAGGGGATTTTAAAAGAATTCATATAATTTTTGTCCTTTTGAATGACAAGTTAGACAATGAGATGTCTATCATCAAATCCCTCTAAAAAAATTTGACAAGAAAGTATTTATAATTTTTACAAAAATGATTCAGGCCTCGAATTTGAGGCTCGAATTTGCCTCGAAATCATTTTTTGTTTTTTTTTTTCTTTTCTTTTCTTCCAAAGCTGTTTTAGTTTGTTTTTTTTTTTAATTTTTTTTTTCTCTCTTTTCTTTATAGGGGTGATTATGTATAAGGGTGTACTAAAAAATTAGATATTTTGTAAATGAATTGGGTTGGACTGATTGGATAATGAAATTGACTGATCAAATTTTTTTTAATTTAATTTAATTTTATTTTATTTGTTAGGTTGTGTTGGTTTTTTTTTTAATTTTTTTTAAAGGTGGTTATATGTAGCGGTGTGCCAAAAAATTAGACATCATATACCAACTCATCGTACAAAATTATATGGAATTAACGAATTTTAACCAACAGTCTAACTGATCAGTCAATTAAGTTAGACTGGTTAAGTGATAAAATTGACTGATTAATTAAACTAATGATTAAATTTTATTAATTTCATATAATTGTATATGATGAGTTGGTGAGAAATGTATAATATTTTATATTAGACTTACAAAAAAAAAAAAAAAAACTAACACAGCACCCCCCTCCCAAAAAAAAAAAGACAGTCGAGCCAAATTCGAGGCCTCGAATTCGAGACCTCTATCACTATTGTAATTTTTAAAATCACAAGGAGTAATTTATATTGTAAGTAAATCTTATGGAAGTATATTTGTAATTTATCCTAAAAATAAAATATTTTTTCCGTCAAAACAATTTTGTTTTTCGTTTTACCAAATGCCAAAAAATATAAAAATATATTTTTTGAAAAGTGATTTTTTTCCAAACGTCAAAAAATATAGAAACTATTTTCTAAAAAATGCTTTTCACTCAAACAAATGAAAGAAACGTATTTTCCACGACTATAAAATTATTTGGGTCGCTGTAACGGGACTAAATTTATTTTAAGAAATTTGCATTCAAAGCAAATTTATTGTGTATTCTTCCCTACCGTTGGACACTGTCAGCGTTCAGAACATCTCCAATGCTTTTTTTTTGATAAAACTTTTGCTTTTCTCCTCATTTGATACTAGTGGTAACTCGCGCTATACATCAAACTTTATAAATTAAAAAAAAATTCATTATAAATATGTTGAAATAATTTAATATTTTATCTTGTGGTATACATGAAATTTATAAATTAATTTTTATATTTATAACTTTTTAAATTATTAGTGCAATTTTGATAATTTGTAATAATAATAATAAAAAAAAGTTAAACCTAATTAAATGAGGTTACATGAGTTATAATATGCTTCTTCTTGTTATGAAAATATACAAATTTAAAAGTTATAATTAAGACAAATATATAGTTTTATTATTAAATGTGAAATGAAGTGATATTTAACAATAATTGATATGATGTTTCTGTTATTAATCCAATAATTTAAGGTACATTTCTTTTGGTTTTAATTTCATAACTAAAAATGTAATATGAATATAATACACACACAAATTTCTAATCTTTAAGAATAAGAAGGTTTTAGAATATTTTCAACCTTTCATCATTTCTTTTAATTTTATTTATCTAATTTGATTTTAAATTTGAATAAAAAATTTGATTTGATATGAATTATTTTAATTTTTTCATTAAATTTTTATCAATTTTTAAAAGAACTTTAATTCTTATCCCACTTTTTTTTTCAATTTTGATGAAAAAAACAATAATTTTCGACGCTTCATTTTTTTAAATTTTTATCAAATTATAATTCAATAAAAAAAAATTAAGGATTGAAGATTCTTTTAATTGGAATTATAGTAAAATAACATCTTGAAATAGTGAAAGTTTGAGTATGTGATTTGTTGAAATGTACAATTTGATTAATTCTCTTATCATATTTGTATAAAAATTGATACTTATGACCACATCATTATAAGTCAGATTATGAAAAATATTTTGAGATGTCAAACATTTTTCATTTGTGAATATCCTACCTATTAAAAAAAAATAAAAGAAAAAAATGTGTAACTTTTGGATATGTATTTATCAATTTTGTTTTGTAGACATAAATAACTGATGTTTCAATTTAAAAAATTAAAAAGTATAAAAAAAAATTGATTGAGTTTTTTGGGGATAGAAGAAATCATCTAACTTCTCTATATACTATTTTAAGATGGGTTATTTTAATCACATAAAAAAATAGAAATTATATTTGGATATTATCTCTATATATTATGCTATTTTATACAAATATAGTTGTAACAAATTAATTAATATATATGAAAAGTTATACTAAGCTTTCATTTTCAATTAATTGAATTATGATTAACAAACTAACAAGAGCAATGTTCTATGCACCAAGTAGTATATAGTATACCAATTGATGACGGGACATAATTTAAGATATTTTTGGTATTTATAATTTGTATAATGAGTGGGGTCAATAATAAGGTCATAACTAGTATTGATACACTAGTTAGTACACTAATTGGTGCATATAGCACCACTCAACTAACAAATAGCAGTAATAGTATAAAAGGATAGAAATAGGATAAAAATAAAAAACATAATGATATTTAAAAATTCTAAATTTACCTAATTATACAAAAATCTAATGTTATAGTACAATCTTGAATTTCCAATAAATTTTCACATTGTCTATAAAATAAAATGACAATAAAAAATAAAAAATAAAAAACCGATAACCATGTTTTTACTGCAATTTTACGATTTTCATTAAAAAAACAAAATCCGACCAAAATTCTTGACACAGAATGAACATAGATACTTCGATTGCAACCATTATCACTAATAATTCTTCTCCATCATGTATGCCTGTATACAAACACATAAATCTCACTAAAACCAAATCAAAACCAAACCAAACCAAACCAACAACAGATAAAGAAAATCACACGGGAAAAAAAATAAAAATAAAAAATAAATAAATTTATAGAGTGGTAGGATATTACCTCTAACAACTTAGGCCTTGCCTGCCTAATCTGTCAACTCCTCTGCCAGTGCCCGCAAAGTATAGGAGTTAGGATGACTAATCAGATTATTCTTTAAATAAGACTTGAAAATTAATTAATTTATCCTATTAAGTGATTTAAAATTTTGATAGATATACATCAAAAAATAGATAATTATAATTCAAATTTAGATATAGCTATATCTTTTTGAGATCTATATCTAAATTCTTATCTTTTTAATTTTTGTGTAGTTTATATTTGTTTTTTTTTTAATTTATTTAAGATGGAGTTGTGAGTTTTTATTTTTTTAAAAAAAAAATTTAATTTAATTCTTATCTTCTTTATTATTATTATTTAGGTAAGTTATGATATGAGTTAAATATGTGATAAACATGTGAGTTTTATTGATTTAAAGTATGATAGTGTGAAATATTTTCAAATTAGATTTGTTTAGATAGATTTTAAAGATTTTTAAAATTTAAAATTCAATATTGAGAGGCAAAAGAAAGATTTTAACTAAATAAATAAAAATCAAATTCATTGAGAGAAAATGAAGGCAAGTTTTAATATATTTTTTTTTTGGAAATCAATGAGAGAAATTAGAATGAGAGAGATTATAAAATATTTTTGTTATCTTTCCATTTGAAATTCATTAATTAAGGGATAATTATTATTTCCAAAATAATTAAATAGGTATGAGAGAAGTTGAAAATGGTGTCTATGAGAGAAGTCAAAAAGTGCTGATTTTTTTTAAAAAATAAAAAATAAAAAATAAAGAAATTAAGATTGAGATATTGGAGCTCATACAAGGCTTATGAGTTAGAAATCTCATTTTTCTTATATAATATATAGATATAAATAAATAGGTTTGATGTTAGGATTGGAGGAGAAAAAGTAAGTATATTTTATCAGATTTAAATTTAATTCAAAATCTAAATAAAGTGTTGGAGATACTCTAAGAGAATGCATACATATAAGTCATATGTAATCAAATTGTATCCATAATTTCAAACATATACATATGCAAAATATATGTTAGATGCACCAAAAACATTTTGTTTTCAATTTTTTGAAAACATTTTTCAGAAAATTCTATTTTTTTATTTTTCGTATTTTTTTATTTTTACTCAATTTTTTTAATCTTGTAAGCAATTTTTTTTTAACTTTTAGACACACCTAACATAAATACATTAAAAAGTATAATTTTTATGATTTTTTTTAAAGATTCACTAAATACCAAAAATACAAAAAAAAAATACAAAAATTCAATATATTTTTTTGTATTTTTGTGTATTTATTAATTTTTAAAAATATTTTTTCACAAATATTTTATTTTTTAGATATATCTAAGTAAGGTACATCTAAAAAAGTAAAAAAAAATGCTTAAATTTTTAAAAATATTCACTAAAAAGAAAAAAATACGAAAAACAAAAGACTTAGTTTTCAAAAAACTAAAGGGATTTTTGGTGGAACCCCCCTTTTGGGCCTTTTTATTAGGGTAAAGGATAACCCAATTAATTTTCTTTCAAAAAGTCCCTGAGTAAGAAATGCTTAACTTAATAAGGACATTTTATAATTTCTATTTTTTTTTATCACAATATTGCCCTTATATATATAGTATCATACGTATGAAAAATTTGAAATCTGAGCTCGTAGCCGATGAAGACGATCTCCAAATCGATCATACTTCACAAAATCGATAAAGACGATCTCCAAATCTGAAGATCTCGCAGCCGAACATCTCTCACTTGTTCAACAATAAACGATCTCGCAGCCGAACATCTCTTACTTGGTGGCCGATGATCAACACTCTCAATTAAACGAAAGTTTCATTGAGATTTGTGATTGTTGATCGAGTTGTAGAGGTTTTTCTTCTCAATTAGGTATGTTGATTTGTAATTAATTTTTTTTATTTTTGTTTGTTTGATTTATTTTTATTGTATTTGATCTGATTTCGTTTGACAGAATCAGAGTAAAATTTTACTCTGGTTCTATTCCTGTGCCTTTTGTTTCAGAGAATCAGAGTAAAATTTTACTCTGGTCTGAACCCTCTGTTTACAATGAGAGTAAAATTTTACTTTTATGCAGAGTAAAATTTTACTTTCAAATTCAGGCTGCAACATTTTACTCTTAGATTCAGAGTAAAATTTTACTCTTATGCAGAGTAAAATTTTACTTTTATGTACTTTTAGATTCCTTTTGTAACATTTTACTCCTGTATCAGAGTAAAATTTTACTCTGCTTGATTGCTCTGTTTACAATGAGAGTAAAATTTTACATTTATGCAGAGTAAAATTTTACTTTTTTGCAGAATAAAATTTTACTTTTAGATTCCTTTTGTAACATTTTACTCCTATATCAGAGTAAAATTTTACTCTGGTTCGATTACTCTGTTTACAATGAGAGTAAAATTTTACTTTTATACAGAGTAAAATTTTACTTTTATACAGAGTAAAAATTTACTTTCAAATTCAGGCCGTAACATTTTACTCTTAGATTCAGAGTAAAATTTTACTCTTATGCAGAGTAAAATTTTACTTTTAAATTCCTTTTGTAACATTTTACTCCTATATCAGAGTAAAATTTTACTTTTATGCAGAGTAAAATTTTACTGTTAATTGATTGCAGATTTGTAAAATGGTTCAACTTCTTATGTTGTTATGCAAGTATGGTGATCGTACCATTGTGTTCAAGGTTGTGTCAAACTGCACGTTGAAGGATTTAACTGATTTCTTAAGTTGTAAATTGAAGAAGTTTGACAATAGTGGTTGCATACTGTTATCGTACTGTTTGCCTGGACATTCGCAATGCATGATTGATGATGATTCTGATTTTCAGAATATGTTGTTGCTTGTTTATCCCCTTGGTGTTGACCGGGTTGATGTGACTATTACTGAAATGGGCATTTCAAATGAAAAACATGGAGTTGGAGAATCAGGGGACGCTACTGGATCCAACATTACTGATGATGAAATGGATTTACTCCCTATGTTTTGTCAACATAAAGAAAGGACTTTGTTGTCTTGTGGATGGGTGAATGGAATTACTCATGTAGGTCAAAGATTTATTGGAGGTGCAAAGGATTTTCGGACTGCATTATGTAAATATGCCATTGAGATAGGATTTGAGTTTGTGTATGTGAAGAATGAGAAGTGTCGGGTCACTGCTGTGTGTTCAATGCGGGAGTCGAAAGCTTGTTTATGGCGAGTAGATGCATCTTTGGAAAGTGCTAATAATTTTTTCTACATTAGGACTCTAAATGATGAGCATACTTGTGGAGCTGCAGTTCGTACTTCTAAAAACTCAAGGACGAGTTCAAATTTGGTTGCAAGTTTGATTGTTAATGAAGTTCGTGGGAATCCCCAAACTTGTCCAATTGATGTTGTGCGTCAATTTACAGATCAATACGGGCTCACCATTACGTACAATCACGCTTGGTTGGGAGTTGAGAAAGCTAGGACTACTACTTTTGGAGATTTCTCTATGTCTTATGATGAGATTCGATGGTATATGGATATTGTGATGAGCACAAATCCTGGTAGCTATTTGCGTCTTGACTATAACCATCAAAGTGGACGGTTCAAGAGGTTTTTTGTTGCATTTAATGCTTCCATTCAAGGGTTTAGGCATTGTCGTCCTCTATTGTTTATCGATGGAACTTTTCTGAAGGGGAAATATAAGGGCACCTTGTTAACAGCTACAGCGAAGGATAGGGATCAAGGTAGATATTACTATAGTTTATTCCAAAGTAACAAGTTACTTATTCTTAGATTAACATGTTATTGTTATTCAAAGTAAAAATCTACTTTATTTGTCCTTTTCGTTTAAGATACTTACTAATTGTAAAATGTTATTTTTCAGGTTTTTTCCCGCTTGCAATGGCAATTGTCGATACAGAGACTACAGACAGTTGGGAATGGTTTTTTATGCATTTGTCGAATATATTGTTGGATGAAAGACCAATTACCTTCATATCTGATCGGAACGTTGGACTTTTGGAGGCTTTACCCAAGGTTTTACCTACTGCTTACCACTATTTTTGTCTCCAACACTTGAAGGCCAATTTGAGGGATAGGTTCTCTGGTCCAAGTTTCAGCAATACTTTCAGAAGTAGAATAGTTTTTTTGTTTTCTTTGTGTGCTTACACTCCGACAGTGGAATGTTTTAATCAGTGCTTGAAAGAATTACAAGATGAGGGAAAAGGGATCGTTTGTGGGTTTCTATCCAATTTGCCTATGACAAGTGGACTAATGCATATTTTAAAGGACAAAAATACGGTGAAATGCACTCGAATGTGGCAGAGTCTTTCAATTCATGGATCCGTCAAGCTCGTCATTTGCCCACTACAAAGATGATTGATTCAATTAGGTTGAAGATCATAGATTTGATGTCGAGAAGGAGAGAACAAGCTAAGAAATGGAATACTTTTCTTTGTTCGGAGATGGATTCAACATTAGTAAATGCTCTTAAAAGTGGAAGAACTTGGTTGGTTAGTCGTTCAAGTGATCACGTTTTTGAGGTTCAATCCCGGCCATCGGTTAGCGTTGACCTCTTGAATAGAACTTGCTCATGTTACCAATGGCAATTGAATGGATTTCTTTGTGCTCACGCGGCGACTGCTATCCATAAGAGCGGAGGTGATTTGTATGCACATGTGGAACCATTTTATTACACTAGCAAGTTCAAAGATTGCTATGCTGAGTCCATTTATCCAATACCCACTGTTGAGAAACCTCTTGTAGCTATGGATGATCTTGTTGTCCTTCCTCCAATTTGTAAGAAGCCACCTGGTAGGCCAAGGAAGAATAGGATCCCATCTAGGGGTGAGAAGATAAGACGAGTACAGTGTGGTAGATGCGAGAAGTACGGTCATAATAGGAAGACTTGCAAGGAGGCATTGCCGTGAAAGACATTATTGATTTTATAATAAAAGTATGAAAATAATGCAGTTCTTCTGCAATAAGTAGTCCATAGCAATAATAGTATAGTCTTTTAGACTAGATTTGTCAAGAGACATTGCAATAAAAGACATTTTTACTATGTTCTTGAATGGTTGTCTGTTCTAGTTTCTGATTTGTTTTGTCGTTGAATGGTTGTCTATGGGTGTGAGGAGCTTGTGGTTTCACAGTAAAATTTTACTATGTTCAAAGTAAAATGTTACTTTTATATTAAAATTTTACCTTATTTCAAAGTAAAATTTTACTTTTATGGAGGGTAAAATTTTACTTTAGTGCAGAGTAGCATTTTGCTTTTAGATTTAGAGTCCAAATTTTACTTGCCCTTCAGAGTAAAATTTTACTTTCATACAGAGTAAAATTTTACTTTTGTACAGAGTAAAATTTTACTTTTATACAGAGTAAAATTTTACTTATTCCGGCTGTAACATTTTGCTCTTAGATTCAGAGTGTACATTTTATTCTTATTTCAAAGTAAAATTTTACTTTTATGCAGAGTAAAATTTTACTTTCAAATTCTTCTGGTAACATTTTACTCTTATTTCAGAGTAAAATTTTACTTTTATGCAGAGTAAAATTTTACTTTTAGATACAAAATGCAATAATTTACTCATCTTTCAAAATATAAAGTAAAATTTTACTTTTATGCAGAGTAAAAGTTTACTTCATTTCAGAGTAAAATTTTACTTCATTTCAAAGTAAAATTTTGCTTTATTTCAGAAAATATGTTAGTCCCCTTAGAAAAACATTTCCAACTTGCACAAAAATCCACAACACACAAACTCCCCTGATGATCATCATGCAATCTTTGTGCAAAAAAAATCTAACAACACAACTACATATATCATCAACATTCATTTCCACTCAAAACAACATTCATAGCAACATTCATTTCACTTACATTCTCAGTCAAAATAAAATTCATAGCAACATTCATAGCAACATTCAGTCAAAAAAAATTTAAGCCTCTACCTGTATCATTGTATTCTATCCATAACAACATTCATTCCCAGTCAAAACAAATATCCTTGTATAATAATCACCAAACTACAGTAAAATTTACTAGAACAATAGACATAGCATTTACTATCTAATACTCTTTTAGTATTCTTTCACTTACAATTACTTTTTCACCGTTCTTTCATTTACAAAAACCGAAATTACAAAAATCATTCACAGTAGTTCCCCAGAACTTGTCCACATTGTCATCCTTGAGGTCTTAGCTCTTGCTCATTTTTTTTTTTTGAGGTTGAACTGTTCCTCAGTCCATGCTTTTGGATAATCATTCAAAAATTGATGCACTATTGACGCTCGGAAATTGTTAATTTCATCATCTTCCATAGAATTTGCAATAGGCTCATCTCTTATGATTTGGCGCATGATATAACATACAATAATTCCACAATCAACATTGTTAAATAAAAATTAATATCTTGTTAGATTTAGTTAAATTTGAAAACTACCAATTCAAGCATGTAATAGTAGCGTGAAATACTTACGATGTTGGGCGTTGTTGTGGACTATCTTTCACCGAAACCAAGTTTGCAAACTTTTTTCTACCTCTCTTCGTTTTGTTGGCCAACTTGCTATCCACATATGTTATCTAACATCATTGCACAATTGTTTGGTCACGATTAAATTCAAGAATAAAACACAACAAAAAATTACTGTTAATATGATGCAAAGCACTTACAATCTTTTTTGCATCCTTAAGGTAAGGATCTTCTCTGTTGTCTCTTGGCCTTAAAGAATTGTAATGTCTCCACTCATCAAGTTCAGTGTCAAATACAAGAAGTGTCCAGTGGTAGGGTTTTTCTTCCTTTTTGTTCCCATTGGAATTCATGCAAAAATGAAGGTATCTATATCCACTCAAATCTTGTTCAAGGACTTTATCAATTAAATGATTTCTCAGCTCCCCATAACCCCATTTCACTAAAGACTGCATTTAATCATATAAGAGTGTCATGTCTCAAGTTGTGTTAGTGACACACTGTATGAGTTGTCAATCTTTGGCAAACCAAATAGTAAAAATTAACTCCAAAATACAGTACAATGTTACACTAAACCATAGTAAAAATTTATCAATTCAAACTAAATACAAATTGATGGCTTACCCAACAAAGGCTTGAGAAAAAGAATGATTTATTCTTTTCTAGCTTCTTGACTTGTTGCTCAATCTCAAGCATTTCTATGAAGCTGTCAATGACCTACAAAAATAAAAATCAATTAAATATATGTTAATAAAATAAACTATTTTTAGTTATTAAGTGAACACTAGTCATTGAAACTTGTATGGCCACTTACATTATTTGCAGTATCACCATCTCTTAGAATTGCATCCACATCATGCAATGTAACATATACTCCATTTCCTGTGCCGGACCATATGATTGCACTAGTCATAAGGTAAAAAAAATGTTGATTAACACGTTGCAGTTTAATAACAGTAAAAATCTGTTGTTTGACAAAATTAAAATGGTCTTACTCTGTGGTTTCCAAATTGTAAATCTTGTTCAGTAGACACTTATCATTCTCATCAAGCAATTTGCATATTGCAGCCTTATCTGGAAACAAAACCCTTTCAACTGGCTTTGCTTGGCTTAGAGACAAGTTGTCAACACAAATCACTTCTTTTGACATCACTTCAATTGCTTGTTTTGTGGTCTTTTTTTCTTTGCCTCTCTTGGCTCACATTCAAAATCAAACATCTCTTTTTTCTTCCTCGCCTTGATTTTGATTTTCCTGACCATGGATGTTTGCAATGGCTCTACGACTATAGGTGATTCTTTCAATGTACTTTGAATCCCAATGTTTTGCTCTTGTTCTACTCCTTCAGCATGTGGCATTTCTTTAGAAGCAAAACCTTGGGTAGCCGCACGAACTGCATTTTCTTCAATCTGTTCAACCAACTGTTTATTTTCAGATTCGAGTACTTCAATCTCCTTTCTCAGTTTCTCCATTTCTTTCTCTGTGTTGCTCATCTTTTCCATCGTTTCTTTTGTTTTTGCCTCTTGATCCTCTTCTATTTTTTGCATTGTTTCCCTAATTTTCTTCAGTTCTTCAAAGGTTGATCATCTCCTAAAGCTTCAGCTACATGATCTTCATCTTCTTCAGTCTCCAAATTTTCCTCCATGTCCAATGCATCTTCTTTAGTCTCCAAATTTTCCTCCATGTCCAATGCATCTTCTTCAGTCTCCAAATTTTTCTCTATTTCCAATGCATCTTCTTCATCATCATTGCAAATGAGGGCCATTTCTTCTCTGGAAATGGGCTTCAGTTCATTGTGATTTACCTGCATTTGAAAAATAGAAAAAGAAAAGAAGCCAGCAATTAAGCAAACTTTAACTACTAGAGTAAAATTTTACTCTGTTTCAAAGTAAAAGTTTACTCTGATTGTAAGTAAACTTTTACTCTAATTTTAAGTAAACATTTACTCTGTTCAAGAGTAAGTAAAAGTTTACTCTGACGGTAAGTAAAAGTTTACTCTGATTTAAAGTAAACTTTTACTCTGATTTAAAGTAAACTTTTACTCCGTTCAAGAGTAAGTAAAATTTTACTCTGACTGTAAGTAAAATTTTACTCTGATTTAAAGTCAACTTTTACTCTGTTCAAGAGTAATTAAAATTTTACTCTGACTGCAAGTAAAAGTTTACTCTGATTTAAAGTAAAAGTTTACTCTGATTTAAACTTTTACTCTGTTAAAGAGTAAGTAAAATTTTACTGTGCTTGTGAGTAAACTTTTACTCTGATTTAAAGTAAACTTTTACTCTCTTCAAGAGTAAGTAAAATTTTACTCTGTTCAAGAGTAAGTAAAATTTTACTATGTTTCAAAGTAAAAGTTTACTCTGACTGTGAATAAACTTTTACTCTGTTCAAGAGTAAGATTTTATTATGTAAGTATAATTTTAAACAAAGTGAACCAGTAACGCTGAGTTTGGAAAGATGATACCTCTTCGGGCTTTAGTGTTTGCAATGACCTCTTCATTAGCTTTTTCCTCAATGTTGATAAGTCTCATCGAAGGAGCCTTGGACACAAATTTTTTCCTTGAGGTTGAATGAGGGTAGTATGCTCGCATAACCAGTACTATAAAATAAAAAATCAAAATTAGTTAATTCTCTAAAGATACATTGCATAATATTTAAAGTAGTTCAATTTACATACCAAAAGAAGAAGTACACATCCAGTGACATTTTCAGGACTTCCTAATGAAGAATGGATTGAAGTAGTCAACATGGATGCAACTGCAGTCGACCATGCATACGAATTCATCATTTCCAAATCTTCTACAAGGGCGACAAAGGCCCATCCAACTGTTAGACCAGTTATTGGTAATAGCAATTCATCATTTCCAAATCTTCTACAAGGGCGACAAAAGCCCATCCAACTGTTAGACCAGTTGTTGGTAATAACAAAGTTGCCACAATAAATAAACACATTATTCATACAACATCCTCAACATCAATTGTCGTTATGTTTTCCAATACATCTCCTAATACCTCTCACAAACTCTTTACGGATATTCTTGACATATTACGGAACCTTCTTTGCACAAAAGATGATTCTTGTTTTTTTTCATATGAGACGTCTACTTTTTTTGTTCCCGATTTTATCCCAAAAATCAAAGTAACGTCACCGTCCCGTATGTCACACGTTTTCCCCCCAAGCTTAAATTCCTTTGCATGAAAGTCATAACATTTGATCACATCCATCACATCATTGTCAACTTTCTTGAACTTCTTTAACACCACATCATCTTTCTTCCAAAAACATTTAAACAACATCCCAAAAGGTGTTCTCTCAAGGGCAGTAATGTGCCTTTAGTGAACCTCGTGTCTTGCATTATGTTTATCAATGAAACAATATTTGACCTATATTGTTTCATATAGTTCTCCCTCTCCCGTACTCTATGTACAATATTCAACTTCGAAGGACTTTCTTCACTACTTTTGCTCTTTTTTTTAGGGACTTTCTTCCTTTGTATAACCGTTGGTGGAACTTCAAAATCATCATCATCATCATCATCACCACATTTGCTTCTTCTAACAACCATTTTCAAACACTAAAAAGTTTCCCTATATCAACAGTGTAACATTTTACTATAAACAACAATGTGACAAAACAAATAAACACTAAACGAAATAAACAAGCATTGTAATGAGACAGTAAAATTTTACTCTGTTTGGCAGTAAAATTTTACTTTTATTGAAAGTAAAATTTTACTTTGATTGGAAGTAAAATTTTACTCTGAAAAATTCATGAAGCAAGTGAATTCGAAAGCATTGAAATTGCAAGACCAAAACACTACAGAAATCAAAGCGTAATGAGCAAAGGCTAGAGTTAAAGTAAAATTTTACTCTCATTATAAACAAGTGAATCTGAAAGTAAAACTTTAATTTTATTGAAAGTAAAATTTTACTCTGATTGGAAGTAAAATTTTACTCTGAAAAATTTATGAAGCAAGTGAATTTGAAAGCATTGAAATTGCAGGACCAAAACACTACAGAAATCAAAGCGTAATGAGCAAAGGCTAGACTTAAAGTAAAATTTTACTCTGTAATAAGTAAAATTTTACTCATTATAAACAAGTGAATCTGAAAGTAAAACTTTACTTTTACTGAAAGAAAATTTTTACTCTGATTGGAAGTAAAATTTTACTCTGAATTCATGAAGCAAGTCAATTTGGAAGTATTGAAATTGCAGGACCAAAACACTACAAAAATCAAAGCGTAATGAGCAAAGGCTAGCGTTAAATTAAAATTTTACTCTGTATTAAGTAAAATTCTACTCTTATTATAAATAAGTGAATTTGAAAGCATTGAAATGCCAGGACCAAAACACTACAGAAATCAAAGCGTAATGAGCAAAATAAGTAAAATTTTACTCTCATTATAAGCAAGTGAATTTGAAAGCATTGAAATTCCAGGACCAAAACACTACAGAAATCAAAGGGCAATGAGCAAAGGCTAGAGTTAAAGTAAAATTTTACTCTGTAATAATTAAAATTTTACTCTCATTATAAGCAAGTGAATTTGAAAGCATTGAAATGGCAGGACCAAAACACTACATAAATCAAAGCGTAATGAACAAATGCTAGATTTAAAGTAAAATTTTACTCTGTAATAAGTAAAATTTTACTCTCATTATAAGTAAAATTTTACTCTGGTTGGAAGTAAAATTTTACTCTGAAAAATTCATGAAGCAAGTGAATTTCAAAGCATTGAAATTGCAGGACCAAAACACTACAAAAATCAAAACGTAATGAGCAAAGGCTAGAGTTAAAGTAAAATTTTACTCTGTAATTCCGAAATACCTACATTAGTTTTCAAAATTTTTAAACCTTAACATTCTCACATGATTTAGTAATTTAAAGTATTCTAAGATAATGATAAAATTTTTAGAACAGATGATCCTTAGTCCAACCAAAAATCCCAAATTCTACTCACCCAACGTAATCTCATACACTACTCCCAAAATGAAAACAAACCCACGCAGACTTCATAATATGGAAAACCTAGCAGAAAGAGGAAAAAATCACTTGTAAAATGTGTGTCCAAGAGAGAGAGTAAAGCGTAATGCCGAGTTTGATTCGAGCCCAAGCGACGAACCAAGCGACGAACCTGTAACCTTGCTAGGGTTTCAATCGACGACACTGTAACGAAGTAGCTCCAGAGAGCGAGAGTAATGAGACTCAGAGAAGGGTTACAATCGTTGCTAGGGATTTCGAATAATGATATTCAGAGGAGAGGAGGGTTTTCAATCGATGAAACAGAGGGAAGGGAGAGAAACGGTGTAATTGTTTCATATTTCCCCCCTTATATATGGATGGGCATTTCAGTCAATTCATGCTATTTTTTTAATTGAGGACTTTTGGGGCCATTGTTTTCATCCGTGGGCTTGAGACAAAATAGGCCTCATGGAAGGGGCTTCTCACCAAAAATCCCAAAACTAAATTTAGAAAATTGAAATCAAACACATTGTATAGATTTCATTTTTAAGAAACAAAATAATAAAAAATTAAAAAAATATCATGTTAACATAGTAAGGGTTCGTTTGGGATGTGGGTGCCTTTTTGGCTATTTTAACCCGAGGTTAAAAAGCCTCGTTTGAAATATGCTTTTTGGCTTTTTTAACTTTTGTGAAAGAAAAAATGAAATGATTATGGTTTGGATGTGATATTTTGTCTTTTAAGTTAAAAAGTCTATTTTATTTTTTTATAGCTAAAATAATTAAAAGGTCAAAATGCCTGACATCCCAAGCCTAACAAGTGTTTTAGGAAAACAAGAATAAGACAAGAAGTATATAGAAAGAATCCATGATATTTTCTTTTGATTAATTTTATCATACTTCTCATTTATTTCAAAACCTTTCTATTAACAAATATTGAGAGATACTTATTAATATTTATCATTAAACATATATCTATATATATATATAGATTCACAAACATTTTGGGATAAAAGAATAAAAATAATTAATTAGACGGAACTCATTAACATTTTCCTTTTTATGAAATTAATATTAATATTATTAATTATATTAATTTTCTCGAACTTTATAAAAGACTCAAAGTAATAATTTTCTCGAACTTTATAAAAGACTCAAAGTAATTTACACTTATAATGTCTCGTTTAGAAGCAAGTTATTTTAGTAATTTTTTTAACTAAAATATGAGATAAAAAAAATTAACTTCTTTGAAATGGCTTTTTAATTTTTTACGAAAAAATATACAAAAAGTCAAAATAAAAGAAAATATTTAATTTTTTTAATATAAATTATATGTTTTTAATTTTTTTTAATATTTTTTTGACTTTTAAACCTTAAAAAAAAATAAAATAAAATATAAAATATAAAATATAAAAAATAAAAAATTACAAGCGAAACGAGACATTACTTGCTATTACAATATCCTATAAATCGGACACATTGCAACGGCTACTTTTTGTCCCCTTTCTTCTCCTTCCCTTCCTTCAAAATCTTGCAAAACATTTGTAGGAAAAACAGCACACTACCGTTCGTTTCCAAAGACATCCCAGCACCCAAAAACAAAACCATCTACAAGAAGAAGAAGAAGAAGAAGAAGAAGAAGAAGAAGAGAATGAGAAGTAGTGGGGTTGGATTGGTGGTGGTGGTGGAGTATTTGGAGTCGTCCATGTCCGAACACCTTCTCTGCAAGTTTCCAGACAACTCGGCCTTCGATTTCGACTACTCCCAGAGTTCCATCTGGTCTCCTCTCGTCCACCGCCACTTCCCTCCTCCTCCGTCTTTCGTCTCCGCCGCCTTATCTACTACTTCTCATTCCGACATTCCCACCCAAAGAAAGTTGTCGTATGAAGACGAAAAGAAAGAGGACAATGAGGACAAGGAATTGTTGCTCGGAACCAATCTAAAGCAAGTCACCACCAATCTCAGGAACAAGATCACCACCACTCTTTTTGACAATTTTCAAAATGTCAGCAATAGGTACACTAAGATGATGAAGCAGAGGAAGACTAAGAAGAATAAGCAAAAGGGTCATAACTTTGATTTTTCTCCACCCTCTCTTTCTACTGCCAAGAAGGGGGCTTCACCAAGAAAGGTATTTCTTTTTCTTTTTTCTTTTTTGATTTTTGATTTTGTTCTATATTTGAACATTAATGTTAGAAAAAAAATATATACAAATTTTAAAATGTGTGGATCAAAATATATTGAAATTACTGCTGTATGTTGAGGGATTAGTCTAGTGGATGAGATGCTCCTTTATTATGCATGATACTTAAATTTGAATTATACTGTTGAGAGGTGTAATTTCCTTTGCCCTACTCATCTCCAAAAATAGTAAAACAAAAACTGCTATACAATTTATTTATACAAAGAAAATTATTGGTAGCAATTGGAGCAATGCTCCATCAATCAACAAAGAACACATATGTTGGGCAAAACAAATTGGTGAGTGGTTTTTTGTGAACTTTTTATTTCAAATCAGAATATTCACTATTGATTGTTGACATTTCATTTTAGATGAATTTATATTTTGTATGAAAGTTATCTATTATCAATTGAGAATTTGACTTCCAACTATTGATATCATCTATTGGATCCATTAATATTCATTCAGTTTACTTGTTTATTTGTCCAAGATTTTGACATGACTCAGTAGAGAGTACAAGTTTAAAGATGCTTCTTTCTTTTCTTGTGAATATAACTAAATTATATGATGTATTATTTTAATAATATGCAGGAGTGGGCAAAGATTTTGAAAGTTGCCTCTAAACGTTTCAAGAAGAAGAAAGATCTCACAGCTCATAATATCAACAAGCAGCTATTCAATTCTTCTATCTATGGACCTTAACTTCCCACATTTCTTTCTTCTTCTTTTGGGCTTTATTCTTAATTTTTCATTTCTCTCATTTGTATTCCCCTTCCCCTTCCGCTATGCTAGTACTACAACAGCATTAGAGTTTCTAAATTGCATTAATTTCCATTTGTTCTTTTGTGTACTCTACAACTTTATAAGTTATATTTGTTTCGAAGAAGTGTTAACAATTTTGATATTACTAAATTCTAAATTTTTTTGAAGTTTGAAATGTACATAATTTTAAAAAATTAGTAAAATCCTATTATACTTCATCTTCATTTGAATTCACTAGACATGGACTGCACGTAATAATGAACATAGTTAGAGGGTATTTTAGTTTTTTAGCCTTGTAATTCGAAGCCCTTAATTGTGGGAGCTTTTATTTACTCAACAAAAATAACACCTTACATCGATTTTCTAACTATATATTTATCTTATTAAAACTCTCCGTAATCCTTGTCCCTAATCTTTCATCTTTTGTTTCCACTTCGTATCCTTTCAAATCTTAAATACCTGCCTCACCCCTCAACTATCACCCTCATTACCCTGCCATTATCGTAGCCCCCCAAGAGAGAGGTGGTGGTGGAGACATAACAGTGGTGGTGGGTTGGTGGTGAAGGGGTGGATATAATTAAAATTAGGATGCAAACTATGAATCGAAAATTACTTTAACTAGATTAAATTTCATGCATTTCGAGAAGCTCATATTTCAGCAAATCACAAGTACAAAACCACATTTCAAAGTGTTGAAAATTATGAGAGACTAATCTTGTTGGAGACTTTAGAAATCATATATACAATATTGTTACCACTGCATTTGAAAAAAATAAAATAAAATAAATTTGCTACCCATATCAAACCACATAAGTTTTTGACTAGATCATCCTTTGAATAAATTTTGTTCCATAAAATAAAATACTTTGACCTCCACAAATATCGCCGAGAACTCAGCCTACTTTGCTGTCATCACCTACAATGGCATCCATGGATGGATTCTGTTCACAAATAATTTGCCCTTTGTAATTTCATCTTGCAACACTCTACCCTTTTATGGTTCAAAATAAGCAGGGAATTTTCGTATAATTTTGAATTAAAGTGCTACGCTTAATTTTTCCATTAAAAATAATGGAAGGTATGTCACTCTCTCAAATTAAGAGTGGACAAAGCAAAAGTGTTAAGTCAAAGTCAAAAATTAAATCAAATGTCAATAATACCCTTATATTCATCTTATTGTCCAAATTAAATCTTAATCCCAGTCAAATCCTAACCCTATTTGTTATATTTTATCAAAAATTTAATTTAATTTAAAATGCTATCAAATGATAAATTGGGTTAAAAATTAAATTGTAGATTATGTAAGACCCCTAACCTTTGTAAAACCTATTAAGTCATTGACTTTTGAATTCTTTCAATAAAGACCCTCAAATCCTCATTTGTCTTCAATTTTAGTTATAGAGTCGAACATGCGTGCCAATTGAAAACTCGCAAACCCTAATCGATTTCGGTAACTTAGGAATTATTTATAATACCCTAATACTAATGAATTAATTCCCTAAATATAGATTGATCACTTAAACCCAAGATTTTTCCATTTTTCATTATGTTCGTTGAATTGATAGCCTTTTAATTCGAAACAAGAAACATAAACCGAATTAGTTTCCCTAATCCTAATTTAATTTAATTCTACACTTAAATAAATTTTCCTATTCATAAATTAAGGCCTTAGCCCTAACATTTTATTTGAATTACAAATTGACCACAAGTTAGTATCATTACATATATACATATATATATATATATATACTTGTACCTTTCTTAAATAAATAATTTTGTATACAAAATATCTTCAAATTCTACACAAAATAAAAATAAAAAAATCCCCTCAAATCCACCCCACATGGCCGGCCACCCTAGCGAAGAAAAATATATAGAATTTTTCCAAACATAATCCATGAATTCATGGAAAAGTTTGTTAATACCCCCAAAACAAGGAACTTTGTTTCAACCCCAAGTTCCAACCTAACCAAAGCCTAACTAGATCATGATTAATTGCATAATTAAGGCCTCTAATCATTCACCATTCCATTAAGTTCCAAGTAAATCCAAAATGTCCAATCCATTTCCAACCAATGGACAATTTCAACCTTTTGCACCAATTTTAGTATAAATAAAACCCCTTCCTTAGCATTTTACACACAAGAACACATACACAAACACCCCATGCAGCTGAGAGGAAGAGAGGGCATGAGAGTGAGCTTGGTGGAGGAAAGGAAAGAAAAGAGAAGGTCTTATTAGCTAATCAATCAAGCCTCAAGTAAGCTACATCACCATCTCTCTTTTTATTTCTCTGTTCAAATACATGTTATTAGAGATTTAAAATCATATTTTCAGATGTATTGTAACGGTGTTCATGTGTTTAAAGTTGATAAATTGGGATTGGTCTTTGATCCTTCTTCTACTCATATTTCCTCTTCATAAATGCAAAACTATATTTTTCTTCTCATATCTCACATTATTTTCAAACGCATACCATCACTCTAAGTGGTTGTTTGGCATGTGCTAAAATAACACATTATCCTATTTAGGTCACAATCATCTTATTTAAGTCACACCACCTCTCTACCACATCACTTCAAATCCAACACATATTTCACATTTTTTCATAAAAGATCAAAAAGTATACTAATCTAGCACTTTCCAAACAACCCCTAAAAATATGAGTTATTGAGACATTATTTAGTATGTTTTCATCACAAAAGAAGTGAAAAATTTCCCTTAGTTGGTCTCTTTTCTCACCAACCTTCTTATTTTGAGTATTGTGCATGAAAAACCTGTTTTATAGCCAACTTCTGGAAATTGTATAAAAATGTAGAACAATCTCTTGGACCTTGGTTTTATGTCAAAAAATTCCTTAAAGAGTTAGCTTTCAAGGAAAATTGGTTTCATTGAGAAAGAGTGAACGATTTGTAAGAAAATTCAATTTTCGTAAAGGTCAACAAATTTGGATAGTGCTGGAGTGTTTCTTAAATAACTAAAAATCTAGAAAATCTATTCCATTTCTAAGAAACGTTATGAAAACTAGATAAAATTCTGTATGAACCATAGGAAGGCTAGGCTCGGGAAAAATCTGAAATGGTCCTTTTGATTTTAAACTTTAAATTGTACTAAATTTGAAAATTTAGTTTTGCATTGGTATTCTAAGCACTTGTCTTCATGAATATGCTTATTAGTATATGATCAAGTCTTGGTATGATATTGCATGTGTTATGATTATATTCCTTATCTTCTTCATTTGATGATGCTTGTGCTTATGTGGATATTATTATCTTGTTAAGTTGTTCTAACTTTAATTTAAGACATCTAACTCAACGGAAACCTTAATTGGGGTGGTATTGGGTTTTCGATCACTTGAATAATGAAGAGATGATAATGCGTTATGTATGGATTGATGGGATGCGCTCCCTAATTAAAGGTTAAGTCTTGTGGAAACAGTAATCGTGTAAACCCTAGAATGGAACGGACGTATTCGGACTCTTTGCAATGGTTTGATTTGGTGACATAAGGTTGGGTCCAGATGGGACATTCAGGAGGATAATACTTTTTTTTGGAAGGATAAAGTTGGATTCAGGATGATAAAACTTTTTTCTTTTCACTGTCCCTTTTGAGGTCCATCGATGGAAATATATAATCGTTGTAGGCATCCGTGGTAAGGTCGGCAAAGGAGGAAAATGGGGAGTCTGAATAGTTCGGTGTCCAATTTTTGTGGTTGAGAGGATGAAATCTCTTTGGACGATAAAGTGATGGGGTGTTAATAGCAGCACTCATTATATATATTAGAGAAGAGAAAAAGAGAATATACCATAGGAGTATTTAGGTAATTTTGCTCTTACTTTTAGGAGAGTTAACTTTGCACATAAAAGGGGTTCTTTCCTTATATTTGAACTATAATGGAATAAAATGCTTCGAGTAAAATCACAAAGGGATAAAGTGAATTTTGTCCTAATTAATAATATAGGATAAGATTTTAGTTTCCATTATATCTTTTATTCACTTTTTAATGGTTTTTATTAAATAAAAAATTTATTATTCGACTATGATGTGGACTAGTCTTAACCCACGTGTGGATATTATGTTTATTTTGGTTCTAGTTGATCAAAAATTTATATATCAAAACCATTTATCTAATGGTAATATCATCATTCATGCCTTCTATTAGGGGTCAGGCGGTTCGAGTTTAGTAGTGGAATCGTTACTTGAATCAAGTCTTTCGGGTTGGAGATTTTGTCAACCAATGTCGACCGATGCTTTGTTCAAAATCGTCTATTTATTCTATTCGGTTGGCGATCGGATTTCGATCGAAATCGAACAATAATAATCAAGGATTGTATAGAGAAAGTAAACCATAGAAACCTCACATGCACTGATCAAAAAAAAAAAAAAAAAGAAAAGAGAAAGAAAATGATTCAAACACAACTTAGAAACACAAATCCAAATCTAAGAGTAAAAAAAAATAGTGGAGAAAATAAAATGGAAGAGAGAAAAGGCACACCGACTATACCGTGGTCACTTATCGCTATTGCCATTGCCACTGCCATTTCACCATCATTCAGTCTACAATTGAAGCCATTGTGATCGGCACTTAACCATAAATAGATGAGATCACAAGGGAGACTAATTTTTGCAATTACAATTTGATTATTGGAAACTTGATGTTGTAATTTGAAAAAGGAGAAGACTGTGTGTGTGTGTGTGTGTGTGAGGGAGAGAGAGAGAGAGAGAGAGAGAGAGAGAGAGAGAATAAAAAGGATTATTGTGAGGAGGTTTGTGACCTTTAGAATCTGCAGATGGTTTGCTAAGAAAGAGAGATAAATAAGAGATATACAAATGGAACAATAAATGAAAGAGATGAATCTTGAAGAAGGAGACTCTAAAGAGAGAAAATTGGATGGGACATGTTTGTATAGAATCTGTAGATGATTTGCTAAGAAAGAGAGGTAAACAAGAGATATACAAATGGAACAATGAAAGAGATAAGTCTTGAAGAGGGAGACAATAGAGAGAGCAAATGGAATGGGACATGTGTTAGCAAAAATCTGGTTTGGGTCAAATCAACAGAGGTGATTCGATAGAATAACCAAAATTTCACAAACAACAACAGATCAAGGAATTGTGGTTTGAATGTCCTATGCCTTGACA